TTTGAACTAGTGAAACATGATCATTACTAAAAGCATGCATGACAGTACCATGCTTTTTAAAAACCTGGGTAGATTGTCCTACTCTTAAATTGGATACAAAAATTGTATTGTGATAAGTGTTGAAAAGCAATATAAGTGATAAAATTATTCAATTTCACGAATACACATATGGGATATATTCAACCCAACAATGGTTCTGATTACGTACACCTACAGTATATACATTTCTGGAATGGGCAATATACGTCACAGGAGCTATGTTTTTTTTTTTTTAAGTGTTTGCTCTCACGAATCCAACCACTGTGAGCCCACTCTTTGTGCTTTTTCAGATCTCAAAGTTCTCTTGCGAGTGCCATTCGTGCCTGCTGCTTTCACATTAATCTACCAGAGGCTGCTGTTGACTGACTGACCAACCGACCACTCCCCCCCACCCTTCCTTAAACCCAACCATCAGTGTTTTAAAAAGCACGGATTGACCCAGCCATACGTGGCTCTGGCTACATTGTTTGCGATCTCCAGAAATGTATATAGGACTATGTTTTTAGATTGGTTTTATTTTTAAGAGGGTAATAGCATCTCAAAGGCAAAATTATAGCAAAATATTTTACTTAGCTGATTTATCAGTTTTCCAAAACTGATAGGCAAGATCACAAGAGAGAGTTTTCAAGTATATATCACTGCAGCCCAGAGACATTTTTGTGAAGCTGTACATCAACGATAATTTTTTCAATCTCTGAACTGTAATTAATAGGTTCAGAGTAAAATAGATAGAACTAATACACAGTATTATTATGCACATGACATCAAGTAAACCAATCAAAAGCCTCAGGAGGTTTGTACAACACACTTGGAGCTCAAGTCCCACCAATTCGGAGCTGACCTACCCATTTTGAATTAGCTCCGACCTCCATTTACTACAACACAGGTAATTGTGGATACGTACCCAGGTCAATATTTCTGGAGACCGCAGAAATATGTAACCAGAGGTACATCCTTTTTCGCACCACTGCTTACCTCGATTACGGCGAAGAACGGTTCCAGAAGCCAGGAGGTGCGTTTTGGAGATGTGTTCCCCTGGAATCAAGTAGGTCCTGAACCTGGTACGTTTTCTCACTGCCCACCAAAATCAAGGCCTCAATCACCAGTCTTTTTACTTCTTAATTCTTCACTCTCAAACCCCAAGTACGTTTAAGAAATGACACATGAAAAGTTCCGCTGTGATGTCCCACTGAATTGGGGCCAGGATTATGGACCCTGGTAGGTTCCTCCGTTTTAAGGGTGGGCCAGGGTGACAGAGAATGGGAGTGGATGTAAAAAGTGGCTCTAACCTGCTGAGCTGCAGTTGACCACTTGAGATGGGGAGAATTTTTGTAACTGCTGTAATTTAGATAAAGTTGTTGTTTACAGCCAGTCCAGAAGGGATCTATCATTTTTTGATGCATGGGGACTCCCTCCTAACGTATGATGTAACCCAAGAATGATGTGGTGGTTTGGTGAAACTCAAACTTTGCAGCTTTTGCAAGCAACTTGTGGTCAATGAATCACAATACTGTTTTCTCATGTATGTGATCCTCTCATATGTTAGAGTAAATAAGGATGTCATCTATGAAGAACACCCAGCAATCTAGCATGACTGAAAAGACATTGTGAAGGACTGAAATATGGTAAGACTGTTGGCTAGGATGAAGGATATAACCAAGTATTCGTTGAGTCCAGTGCTGATAGAGAAGCCTGAAGATGTTCTAAAGACAGCAGTCAAAGGTAAAATTTGTTCTTTAATGTTGCTTAGGGCACTGTAAACAATGCGAGGGCAAAGGCCACAATCATTCTTCTTGATGAAGAACACAGCAGATGCTGATGTAGATTGCTTGATGAATTCTTTAATGAATTTTTTCTCAGTGTACTTCTTCAAAGTCTTAAGCTCAGGTTGTGACAAGGGGAAGATTCAATCTTCAAGTGGTGATGTGTTAGGTAATAGTTCAATGGCGCATTCACTGGTATGATAAAGAGGCAATTCTGGTGCCTTGGATTTTGCTAAAATCTTTTGTCAGATCAGGATATTTAGTGGGCAGGACACCAGGAGCTTGTTCATCCTTTAATTAAATACTCTGAATGGATATTAAAGAGTTATTAAGACAGTTGCTATGACATGTGGAGTCCCTTTGGATAATCTGACTCTCTTTCCATGGTATAAAGGGGTTTTGCTGTTGTAGCCAAGCCAGTCCAAGAGTTACTGAGAAATTAGGTGATGTAATAATGTAAAAGTGCATGTTCTCAGTGTAAAGATCCCCTGTTTTTAGTTGCATATCTGGGGTGGTGTGCAGGATCATTCCCTCACAGAGGGGACGCTCATCAAGTACCTTCACTGCCAAAGACATTAATAGGTGTTGATTTTTTTTTGGTGAACTAAAATTTTACAGCTGTATCTGAATCTTACAAGGAAGATGTGCACATATGTTGCATTATGTTGTTTGGGAATCTGGTGAGTATATTCGAGCTGTCATCAACAGAGTGAGTCCATTTGCAGCTTTACTGTGGCTCAGCAGCTCATTTCTGTGTGAAGTTTGCATGTTCTCCCTGTGTTCTGAAACAGTGGCCAGTTTAGTCTTCGAGGTTTTATGGCTATATTTAACCAGCCTTAAACTTAATTGATTGCACATTCCACCAGTGAGAGCAGAGTGTGAAGGTTTAATTAGCAGAGTAATAGCACAGTTTTGCTAAAAATATTGCAATGTACTTAACATTATGGGTGACATATTACAGTTCAAAAGAGGACAAATTGTTGCAGGGCCGGAGTGGCACTCCTTTTCAGCCCTGGAGTTTGAAGCCTCAGACCGGCCCACCTCAGTTCACGACTGACTATATTAAAATGAGGTCATTTCCACTTCAGTTTCTAATGACACTATCACGTCTTTTTTTGAGAAAACAGCTGCTTTAGAACTTCAAATGTTCAACAACCCTAACAGTATTATATGTCTTAACAATAAAAATGAAAAAAAAAAAAAGAATTACTCAGACAAGGATCGAACCCAGGTCTGCGGGGTCGAAAACTAACATGCTATCCACTGAACCACAACAGCTGTTCAGTGAAAAATGACCAAGTTACATCATCATTAACCTGCAGAGTAGAGCTGCGGTAAAATAATGGATAAAAAGGCTGTGGTCAAGTGAATAGATAAATAAATTTAAAAAGTGTGATTGCTGAGAGCAACCGATTCTGGAGCTAGGGATACCGGCCCTCGCGGCCAAAAAACGGACCGGCCCACCGGGAATTCTCCCGGTCCTACCGATTAGCCAATCCGGGCCTGAATTGTTGGTACAAGTCTCACTGGCGCATCTGTGACCAAGACAGCAAATCTGTGATCAAAATCATCCAGAGCCATGGTAATGAACTTAGGTCACTTGTGCCGATGTCAAACGTCAGTTTCAGTGGTACCAACAGTGAAATCTTTCCCACATCTGGGAGAGTATTGGTGGGGAGAAGCCCCAAAGAAGCTTACCACCTAGACTGGCGTACATGAAGTATGAAGGTGGATCAGTGATGATTTGGGTTGCAATATCATGGCATTCCCTAGGCCCAATAATTGTGCTAGATGGGCAATTCACTGCCAAGGACTGCCGAATCATTTTGGAGGACCATGTGCACCCAATGGTTTAAACATTGTATCCTGAAGCTGATACCATGTATTAGTATGTGTACAAAGTGGGTTGATGAACATGTAAGTGGTATTGAACATATTCCATGACCTGCACAGTTGCCAGATCTAAATATTATTGAGCCCCTTTGTGTTTTAGAGGAGTGAGACAGAAAACTTTTTCCTCCACCAGCATCACATACTGTCCTGGCCACTAAGAAGAATGGCTCAAAAACCCTCTGGCCACTGTGCAGAGCTTGTATGTTGTATTGGCTGCACAAGGAGACCCTACACCAGGAGCAGACTAGTCGGGAGCACTGGGACATTTCCTGGTGGCCTGACGGTCAATCTGGCCTACCCGCCACCACCACCCAACCCCCTGTTGTATTCTTATGTTAGGATTTTGTTTTCAATATTCTATATATTTCAAATATCAAGTCGCACAAAATTAAGCTTTTACATGCAGTTTTACATGTGTGTACAGTTGTGTTTAAGACAAAATATATAACTCAAATCAGTTGTGTATTTTAAATATTGTCATCTATTAAACTTCAACATCAATAAACTGACAGCAAACAAGAAGCTGACGCTCAGTTAAACCAAAATACACCGATGGACCTAGAAGCTCCTGAACTTAATATTTACACTAGCTTCTACACTTTCAAAGCAGGCCGTTTTAAAGCATTATTTATTTAATTAACCTTATAAAAAGGCTTTTATCTCAGCACCAAAAGAATTGTTTTAGTAATCAAAAAAACTAATGTTAAAAAAAAACAAATATGTTTTATCACCACCAGTATAGTACATAATTTATTTTGTACTGATATAATATATTCCAAGCACAGCTCTAAACATTGTCCTCAGAAAATTTTATTTTACAATTCGAGTTATATATATATATATATATATATATATATATATATATATATATATATATATATATATATATATATATATATATTTTTTTTTTTTTTTTTTTTTTTTTTTTTTTTTTTTACATAGTATTAAGATGTTTTACCCTCACAAAACCTTAAAGCATGTTCTTTATCCACCCATCCAAGGATATCCCCTCCTGACAAAAACATCTTTGCACAGCCTTCCTTACCTCCAACTCTCTCTGACTCATTGTCTAGAGACACTCACATGGCCTGCTAGCCATTCATGCATGTTGCGGTCATTCATATAATTTGAACTAAAGCGCGTTTACAAACACTGTCGTGCAAAGCATGAGTTCTCTCCAAGTGAGGCATAGCTTCATGGATTGATGGCGTGACGTCAACACGCAGTTACCTTGCCGTGAAGGAGGGGGGATTAATCTGTGTGTATGTGTGTGTGTCAGGAGAGAGAAAGAGAGGGAGAGAGACGCGTTAATCTCTAGGGAAATGGGCACGTTTGGAATAAGCGGTACCAGTCAGCTAGCGCACTCTAATATTCCAGTGGCTGTAGAAAAAGTGTTTCCAGAGAGAGAGAGAGAAGAGAGAGGGAGGGAGAGAGAGGGAATATGAGGGCAGTACTCAGGATGAGCCTGCGCTTTGAGGCTGTAAAACACTAGACCCTGAGGGCATTCTCTGTCTGAGGTAAGCACCGTCTCTCATATTTTAACAAGGCTTGACGCCACGGTGTTTAACTGCGGCGCGTCTATTATTTGTGTTTGTAAAGTAGCGCGCGACAAGGGTTCGAGTGTCCTCGCGCGTACTTGGACGCTCCATGCGCGCGAGACTGCGAGAAAGGTCGCGCGCTCAGTTCTGTCAGATCTGACCGTGGCGATTAAACCGTAAAAGCTTCGCCGTAAACTCTCCTGAGGTAAATAGGCGTTAAAGGAGACCGGGCCCGGGTTATCACCGGTAAATTGTATTAGTACCTGACAGTGGATAAACGAGCTCAAAGCCGCCTTCACGAGTTCGTTCGGCGATTTGATAGTAACTTAAGTTAGAGAAGTTCATTCGTTCTACTTGAGATGTGTGGATGGATGAAGGAATGATAGCCTACTTCAGATATAACATGCGCTTTTATATCCGCCTGTAGTGTTTCTCGGCTTTCTTGTTTCAGCTGGCTGCAGCTATTTTGAGGTCCACTCTGACCAAATTAAAGCAGCCTCACGCAGCAAATTACACACTGAGAAACTGCTTTTAGTTCAGAGACGTGTGTGACACACTGAGAGAGAGAGAGAGAGAGAGAGAGAGAGAGAGAGAGAGAGAGACCTACTTTATGAGGGGAGTTAAACAGGTTTGTTAAATGTCACACCACAACCGCTTTTACTGTCACCTCCTAATAAAGCAACTATTGTATTTATAACAGTTTTTAAATACGATCTCACCTACATGGAACTTACTTTACATCCTGAAGTTTTGTAAAGGCGTCGGGGAAAAAGTGCTTTTGCCGGATTATTGCTCAAATTTTAGTGAACGTGTGACTTTTACAGCTACCGGCTGGTTTTGGGTGAAATAGTTTGCCATTGTTAAAGTAAACCAGTTTCCTGGGTTTATAATGCAAATGAAAAAAAAAGTTTCTGACGTGTGCGTGTAATATCTATCTATCTATCTATCTATCTATCTATCTATCTATCTATCTATCTATCTATCTATCTATCTATCTATCTATCTATCTATCTATCTATCTATCTATCTATCTATCTATCTACACAGATGCTTTAAAGATCCTGCTTAGTTCATTTAAATATGTTAAACATCTTCATTTAAATAATAATTTAAATGTACACCCCCTGCCTCCAGTGTCTTTATTTGTTTCATCTAAAGACTGACTTTCATTGCAGCTGTGCCTCTTCAGGAAAACTGACTGCGCAAGAGAAAGGAAGAGTGAGCTGGTATCCTCTGTAGTTGTAGGTTCATATTGATGCATTTGGCGTCCAGCTGAGATGCCGCGACGCTGACGGTCCTGCCCCGTCTGTCGAACCGGACCAATGATGATAATGAAGGCGATGATGTCCACACGGCGCGTGTAGCGCTAAATTCCACACTGCCGGACTCCTACCAGACACTCCTCTCTGACCCACGCTCGTTCACACCTCAGATGGACTACCTTTACTCTGCACTCACCAGTAAAATGAATTGGATCGCACTCCTGCTGGCCGGCTTGACTTTTTGTTGCAAAGTGTCCGTGCACAGCTGTTTAGATTACGATGACAGTTATGATTATTACGAGGAGGAGAAAACAGAGACAATAGACTACAAGGATCCCTGCAAAGCAGGTAAGACGCTTTTGTGCAAATTATAACACTCTCAGTTGTCCTGTGGTGATCAAAGGAGAAAGCATACACATCTGATTTGCGTTTCACACTGTGCTGCAAAGTGAGAACCGTAGAGTACGGATAAGTGGATTGTGCGTTATTCATCTAACTTTCTTTGTATATAACTTTATTATCTATTTCCTTGGCGGGTCACTTATTGAGTCAAGCAAGAGCGACGCCTCCTTTTTGTGTGTATATATATATTTATATATGTAGAAATATCTCTCGCAAGCCTCGCACGACCCCTCCTCCCCGGCTGAAATGATGTAGCCCGCTTTAATTCCGTTTCTCCCGGGATGATCCCGCGGCTCGCGAGGCCACGTGCGCGACGCTGTCATAAACCCGTGCTTTCCGCGCGCACGTTTGTCCGTGCAGGTAGAGCGCGGCTGCACGATTTACGATCTCTTATGTAATAATTATTAGATCAATCTAGACAATGTGAAACTCAGTTCACTCAGTTTATCTGAGCCCGTATTTCACCTGCTGACAGCTGGCAGACAAAATATCAAAACGGATGACCTCTTGTTATTAAAATACACTTAATTTATTTTTTGTGTAATAAAATTGGTCCAGGACAAAATACAGTCAATGGCTTCTGAAGGCATTTACGTTATGCATTATTATGTTTGCATGTTTTATTTAATATGGAGGATTTAAAAAGTACTTCACTGATGTAGATTGTTTCATAAAGGACCTTCAACATAATAATACAGAACTTTAGGTTCTTCAAGGTGTGAAGGGTTGTTTTTCTTATTAAATTGTTGTACACCAGTGAAACTGGTTATTTAAGAACTTTTTCTGAAAGGTTTTTTAGGTTTTTTGTTGTCAATTCAAAAAAGCTTTTGGTATCTCATTTTAGGGGTGCATGTTTATGTGTCTTAAATTTGACATCTTCATGCCTGAATCAAAATGTCAGTCCCAAATGTTTAGACATGCAGTCATATTTTGTAAAATTGATCAGTTCTTCCCTCTCTCACATGCACTCAAAAATGTAGGATCTTTACACTCTTAAAAATAGAAGGCTCTTATTGCCATCAAAGGCTACACGAAAAACCTTTAATATACTTGAAACTTTTACATTCATATTTGGAGTATTAAAATTCTCTTCATACTAAAAAAACGAAAAAAATTTAGGAACTCTTTACATAGAACCGTATATAAAGAGTTACTAAAAAAATCATGTTTTTTTTTGTGTGAAGACAGTTTTGTGTGGGAAATTTTTGTTTTTTATTTTATTTTATATTTAAATTTATGGTTTCATGAAAAACTTTTAACATCCATTAAAATAGGTTCTTTAAATTATTAAAATCTTCACTCTTAAAACTAAGTAAATGTTTGGAACTGTTTACTAAAAAGTAAGAAAAGTTCTTTGGAAACTATATTGTAAATTATTCTTTGATGGCATTGTTACAACAACAAAAAAAAGACCTTTTGGAATCTGTTTTAAGAGTGCTAACATAGATTTACACTCATAATCTTCCTCTCCACATTCTCTCTCTCTCTCACTTTCCTTTGTGTATATATCATGTTTACACAGGAACTATAAATCTGATCATTTGTTTCTATGCTGCATTGTGTTGGCATTGTTTCCAAGCCTCCATGAGACAAATGCTTATACACATACAGAGGGCACATACACTGTACACACAAGCTGTGTTGATTACTTATGAGAATGAAAAAAAGATGACTGTAAGAGTGTTTGTACAGTATGTGTATGTGTGTTTGGATTAGTGTGTCTGTGTTTGGGTGTATGCGTGTAGGAGTATGACTGTTTGGCAGTTATAGGGAGGACCTCTGTTTCTCTAAACCGTGAAATATTCAGCCTAGTAATTTGACAGGCTCATTGATAGCAGTACAACTGGGAGAGGGTGGACAACATCATCACATAACCTTTTAGCATATGCATAAATAAATAGACATAGACAAGCAGTTTTAATCTCTTTAAACACACATCTGTCAGGTTTCTGTCACATATTCTCATGCGAACTTAATTCATAATAATTGTATTGAAGTACAAATCAACAGCTTGTACTTTAACAAGTACATGGCTCACTTATAAACCGCAGTCTACACCCAAGATGTTGAATGTTTTATACAATATTCTAGCCATAACGAAACTGACTATATCAGTCTACATTTGGCAGATTAAATGCTTCTCTTAATGTAACAGTTTTAATTCTGTAGTTGCTACAGTAATGATATAGCTTGAAGATCTTTGCATCATAGGTGAAATGCTGATCATCTAAAAACGGTCCAGGTTATTGAGCGTGTTCGATCCAGCTCTCTCTAATGCTAACGTTAGACACTCTCTGGGCTGATGGAGCGTTTTACCAATGCGTTCGCTCGCAGTGTAGCTTTGCATTTGCATATTTGCACCGTGTTGGTGTTTTAGCAGAAACAGCCATGCTAATTAAAAGCAAGGTGTCAACGGTGGGAGCTGCGGTGCCTTTCAGATAAATAGATCCAAGTTTAGCCTAATTGTTTTAAGTGGTACTAAACCTTTGTTATAGGTGTTTAAACTTTTACGTTTGCTTAAAAGTTCTCTCTCTTACTGCAGTGGTTCCCAAATTGGGGGTCGCGAGACAATGAGGAGGGGTCGCTTGGTAATTTCCGAAAATCTTATATATACAGTGGTGGAAAGAGTACTGAAAAATCAGACTCAAGTAAAACTAAAATTACTTGGCCAAAAATTTAGTGAAAGTAGAGTAAAGTATCTGTTGTTAATATTACTCAAAGAATGAGTAAATGTTGCCCTTTTAAAAGTACTCAGAAGTAGTGAGTATTATGCTCCGAACGGCTGATGCCTTTACATGCAATTTGTGCATGTGTAAACGTAACATTTCATAGTGGATTTAAGTTACCGTTTAAGGTAGTTTAACAGAAATTTACCGTAAATAACAAACATTAAATTACAGAAAATTCCTTAAATATAAATTTCTGGTACATTTCCGTAATTTCTGTAAATTGTTGTTTTACAGTAAATTTCTTTTACAGTGCAGTAAACATCTTCTCATCAGTGTCTAAACAGTCTCTGAGTTAGTGTGTGTAAAGAATTTGGACGTCTTTTTCTGGACGTCGAATTCTGGACGACTTTACTGCATTTATAAAGTGCTCATGTATTGAGGATGTTACTTTCTATGTGCAATTTGATTGAATGGCAACCACCAACGCAATCTCACGGCAATTCGTAACTTTTTGATTTAGTGGGTAATTCGTATGAATTCGTACGATCTAATTCTTACAATTTAGTACAATTTGCTCATCACCTAATGACGGTTGGGGTTAGGGGTGGGGTTGAGTGCCATGCCTTTGTTTTAAAAATCGTACATTTTCATACGACTGAATTCGTACGAATTAGCCACTAAACTCACAAAACGTAAAATACTTACGTTTCCTTGTGAGATCAGGCTGGAACCACAGGTCTGATTTTTTTATTTAGTCAATCCCATAGACAAGAATAAAATTAAGTAGTGGCTGCTGTTTGAAAGAAAATAAATTATCGATACAGCACTAGAAATGTACTCGAGGAAAAATAAAAGTACACATTTTTAAAACTAATTCGTAAATTACAATTCCTTAGCAGAAACAATTACAGTAATTTGACTATTTGTAATGTTACTTTACACCACTGTAAGTTATTAAACTATTAAAATTACCATATTTTATCCATAACCCACAGAAGATACAAATAGTGTTTGATAGTTACAAAATAAACAACATACAAACAAAAAACAGTTAATATAAAATTAAACAAATGAATAATGACATGAATAATTATATGGTAGACTGTTGCGCTTTTTTGTGTTTTCAAAATGCTTGTGTTTATATAGTTCTTATTGGTGTGTGTGTGCACAGTGGTGTGCATTGTTTGTATGTTTATAACCACCTCCGAAGATAGTAGGTGTCGCAAGTTGCGGGTGGAAACTTTGGGAATTTCTGTCTTACTGTTCTTATTTCTGTATATCATGTACAGCACAAATACTATATTTACATTTACAGCACCAAATATCTTGCTCTATATGTAGTGTTTTACTGTAAAATATACAGCAATTCTCACAATGCATATTTAAACATACAGTGACACTGCACAGTTGTCTTACAGTAAAATACAGTTCATATTACCAATAAATGCTGTGTAATTTACAAAAATAATAATCAGTGTAAGGTTCTATCTGTATTCTGATTGGCTTTGAGATATTGAGAATGTGTCAACAGGGATCACATTTTCTAAATAAAAAGTCCTAGAATGCTCACAACGTAAAAGAAAAGTTGTCATTAAATAAGAATATGTGAAAACCTTTTTGATTATTGTAGATTAGTGCTATCATACCATAACATGCTTTAACATATAAACAGGTCATTATTCAGTCGATTTGTTAATGACCTGCTAGAGCTGTTGGTGGGTAAATTGATTTCAATAAATATAGTTGTCCATTGTCCATTTTTAGAAATCTCACTCCAAAGCTTGCAAAACCTGAAACACATGCACTTTCTGTATGTTGAAAACCCACTATCTTCATGAGCTCCTATTAATGGCTTCTTGTGGTCGACACAACAGAAGCCTGACATACTGCAGATCAGTCCTACAGTAAAACACAGTTCATATTACAGGTAAATGATGTGTAACTTACTAATATCATTAACAGTGTAAGGTTTTATCTGTATTCTGATTGACTTTGAGATACTGAGAATGTGGCAGTGGGATCAAATGTTCTAAATAAAAAGTCCCAGAATGCTCAGTGTAAAAAAAAGAAAGAAAAGTTGTCACTAAATAAGAACATGTGAGAACCTTTTTTTAATTATTATAGATTAGTGTTATCATACTCTGTAAACCCCAAAAAGTTAAGGTAACTCAAACCATTTGAGGGAATCGATTGCAACAAACTATTTAAGTTCAAAAGTCAATCATAATAAGTACTGTGAACTTCATTTGAGTAAATGAAGCAATTTGAGCACAGTAA